CGCTTTGATACACAATGTCTTAGTTTGGGTTTTATTGCTGTGAAGAGACACCATGACCAAGGCAATTCTTACAAAGGCAAACATTTAATTGGGGCTGGCTTACAGCTTCAGAGGTTCAGTCCACTATTGTCGTGGTGGGAAGCATGGCAGCATGCAGGCAAACTTGGTGCTGGAGGAGCTAAGACTTCTATAACTTGATCTGAAGGCAGCCAGAAAGAAAGTGTCTTCTGCAGGCAGCCAGGAGCAGGCTGTGGCTCACAATGGGTAGAGCTTGACTAAACACAGGCCCTCAAATCCCACCTCCACAGCCACACACTTCTCCAAGGCCACACCTACTCCTGCAAGGCCACACCCACTCCAGCAAGGCCACACCTCCTAATAGTGCTACTTCCCATAGGCCGAGCACATTCAAACCACCACACACAAGGTTGTAGGGTGAACTCAGGAGGCCCAGGTTGAATAATCTACATGAGTCTGGTGGTGGCTCATGAAGTCCTGCCTACACAGGTACAACTAACAAATACTAAAGATCCCTAAGATTTCCTGCTGCATGCCGTCTGTGGCCATGGTCATACTGCCCTTTCTTCATGTCAACTTAAGAGGACCTGCACATGAGAGTGACATAGTGCATGCAGTCCTTCTCTAACAGTCACTTCCTCAGCTCAGGCCTTATCACGGAGGAATGTATCTCACAAGATGACACACAGGGAGAGAATATTCTTCGTCACCCTAGTCTCAGCTAACCAATGTGATAGGGCCACTCTACTGTGGCAGCATGCTGAGGCTCTGAGGTCACTGTAACAAGACCTTTTAGAAGATGTAAGCCATGTTAATCCTAGCTTCTTGGACTCGGGTTCCTCCCCCATATGAATTTTCCTGTCTCTTCCACACTATCATCATCCCACATGTTGTGTTTTGAATAGGAATGGCCTCCATACTCCTGTGTTTGAAGGTTTGGCCAATAGGTGTGGCACTATTTAGGAGATGTGGCCTTGTTGGAGTGGGTGTGGCCTTGTTGGAGGAGGTGTGGCCTTGTTGGAGTGGGTGTGGCCTTTTTGGAGTGGGTATGGCCTTGTTGGCCGAACTGTGTCACAGTCTTCTGCTTCCTGTGGATCAAGATATAGAACTCTCAGCTCTGTCTTCCAGCACCATGCCTGCCTGGATGCTCCCCTGCTCCCTGCCATGATAAAAATGGACTGAACCTCTGAACCTGTAAGCCAGCCCCAATTAAATGTTGGCCCTGGGGTCTCTTCAGAGCAGTAAATCCCTAAGACAGTATTTCTCTCAGCCCTCCTGTATTGTCTGCCTCTCAATGAGATGCATAAGTGCCATACTTTTTTACTGGGCAATGAAAGCCTTTGGCTTGTCTCCACTCTGAGAATGTCCAACATTCTTCCGGCATTTTGAAGTTCTCCTGCCTTCTCTGTCTGACAGTCACTGGGAGGTCTTCGTGTTGCCTCCTTTTATGAAGAGAAAACTGCATTTTAGATCATGTGCTGCTTGGAACAGCTGCTGCTTTTACAGAAAAATCCCTGAGTCTCATTTTCATTGGATTGACACGGTCATTTTTGGAAGATCATGACCTGTCAATGTTTGATTCGTACCATACAGTCTTTCCATGTTGCTTTCGGGGCTGCTAATAAAGACTAAGTTTATCCTTGATAACTTCTAGCAAATTCTTCCTTTGTTTTAAAACACACATTAACAGTTTCTGTAACAAGCTCAACTTTTTTTTTTAAGTTTTGTTTTACTCTTTGTTTCTTTTTATGTATGTATGAATGTATGTTTGTATGCATGTATTTTATGTAAGTACACTGTTGTCATCTTCAGACGCACCAGAAGAGGACATCAGATCTCATTACAGATGGTTGTGAGCCACCATGTGGTTGCTGGGAATTGAGCTCAGGACCTCTGGAAGAGCAGTCAGTGCTCTTAACCACTGAGCCATCTCTCTAGCCCGGCAAGCTTAACTTTTATTATAAACCCCACCCACATGGATAGGTTTAAACTCTTGTGGCCTACATTCATTCATTTTCTCTCTCTCTCTCTCTCTCTCTCTCTCTCTCTCTCTCTCTCTCTCCCTCCCCCACCCCCTCTCTCAGCTTTTCTTGGGAGCTATGACTTAGACATTCAGGTAAATCATTTGCTAATTTTACCTTTAGGCTTCTTTAAGACATGAGAAACATGTCATATGCACTAAATGATACAAGTCTATCTGGTTCTGCAAATCAAAAAAGTCTACATTAAAGCTAAACTCCCCAAAACACATCTACTAATCAGATAATCTTTGTCCAAGTGACACGGAATCATTGAGAGTCAGCCAAATGTGTTCTATTGAATCAGAGTTTGTCCTGAAGTTATCCAACCCCAGGGAAGAACAGGGAGTCACTCCAGGTCAAGGGTGAACACCCCTTTCTGAAATGAGGGTACCTCCACAGCATTCTTTCTCCACCTCCATCTCTGCTGTTATCCCCCAACCAGACCTGACCATCCATGCCTCCCTGTACATGAATACCATATACTAACTTGAGTTGTTTATAAATTTTATTCTGTTTGCTCAAATAAATGAGAAGCTACTTAGAATGAGTGCCATAATTTCCTAAGCGGGAGACCCCATCATCCAATAACTACTTCAAAAAATGTAGCCAAATGACTCGTGGTTTACAACACCCACTGTATGTTCCCACACTCTCTCTCCTGACACAGACCGTCTGCTTCGTCATGTCTGAATTGGCTAACTGACTTACTCATTGACATGTGTGAACAATGAACGCCTTGTTCTGTTCCTACTATTAGGAAACACACATTTGGGTGAAATTTCAAAAGTTTCTTTTTGCTTCCTGCGGGGAACCCTTGAGTCTAACACCAAATAACGTTGTTTATTTGGGGTATTTTTGTTTGGTTGGTTGGTTGGTTTGTTTTTTTGTTTTGTTTTGTTTCTTTCTGTACTTCAACCACTTTTATTTATAAGAGTTTAAGAGGTTTGAGAAAGATAGAAACATACATGAGAAATCATCAGAACAGACATAAGTCAAACCTAAGAAAGCTACTTATTTCCTTTTGATTGGATGATGAAGAAAGCTGGAAGGCCTCATTTAGTGAAGGTAAAGTAATTTTAGCACATAAAATAAGCAAAAATCCCTACATGTGGAAGCTCGACTGGACAAAATAAGGGGAAAGCATATCACAGGACACAGGTCAAATTTTAAGGTCATATTGGTAATCCGTTTTTTAAAAAATCAGAGAAGACAGGAAGGCTTGGCATGTGTGCCCCTGGTCTCACAGGCACATTGTTCAGTCTGCAGGAAGTGAGTCACCCCTTGCAGAACTCATCACAACTCACTTTAATCAGCCTCACTTTGGCCTGGCAGGAAGTAGCAGTGTCCTACCACAAGAAGTGGGCCACCCGTGGTGTCAAAGCACAGAGGGAGAGTGGTGGCTCACACTGACAGGTGAGTAAGGGCAAGCTATCAGTAAGAAGGGAGTCACCCAGAGGAGAGGAAAGTGAAACCCCCTGAATCTGTGGTGATCTGGTCCCTGGGAACACTGAGCTCCAAGCTTCCTGGGGTCACCTGGAATGAGGCCCAGATATCACCCTTTGCAGCTAGTCCTCACTGGCAGGGTCATCGCTGTTCTCTCCCAGTGGAACAACTTTGTGGGCTTCTGGACTGTGTACATCTGGGTCTCTGTGGAGCATTCCTGGTTCAGAATCGCCTGGAGCAAGAGGTAAGTATAGAGATTACTGTGTATCATAGGCCATCCTGTTTCATGTCCACACTAACATATCCAAGCTTAATGTTACTTAGAACAACTCAAGATGCAAGTATAGAACCCTCTTTCTGCCTCATGTGTAGGCTCAGGCCTTCCAAGGTACCGGGGCATATCAAGTCCAGTCAGGACAAACATCTGATATGCTTGTGCTTGAACCCTAGCATCAGTATGTGTAAGACGTAGCAAAAATTGGCGGAAGTGGACACCCTTCTCCACAGACCTTCCTGCCTACTTCCATTCCTTTGAGCATCTTCTACATCTATCCTGAATCTATGAGGCACCTAGGGCTGCTGGGATACAGTGTGGAGGATCTTTTACCTGGAGACTATTTTTTAACTTTAAAAGACAAGGCCTGAGCTGAGAGATATCTCAATAGGAATGAGGACTTGCCCTGCAAGCATAAGGACTGAGATTGAATCCCCAGCACCCATATAAAAGACTGCTTTGTTCACAGTCATATGACTGTAATTCTAGAACTGATGGGTAGAGGAAGACAGGTCTTGGGAGCTCACTGGATGGACAGACAGCCCAGAATAAAGGGCAAGCCTCTAGAGCACAGAGACACCCTGTCTCAACGTAGTAAGGCAGAGAATAACAAAAGAAGTCAACATTCTCCTCTTATACAGTAACTTGTATGCACCATACACACAAAGAATGAAAATATTCTCATTTTTTCTTCTCTCTTTTTTTTAAGTTTAGTTTAGTTTTGATCTTTTTTTTGTTTTGTTTTGTTTTTGAGACAGGGTTTCTCTGTGTAGCCTTGGCTGTCATGGAACTCACTCTGTAGACCAGGCTGGCCTCCAACTCAGAAATCTGCCCGCCTCTGCCTCCCAAGTGCTGGGATTAAAGGCATGCACCACCATTGCCCAGTTTGTTTTGATTTTTTATGAGTACGTTTTATTAAGGGCAGGCTGACCTTTAATTCAATATGTAGCCAAGCATTACATTAAACTTCTGTACTACGCCTATGTCCCAAAGGCTGGGATTTCAGAAGTGTGTCACCACCTCTGCTCTTTATCTTCCTTCCTTACTTAAGATCCAGATAATAGGGGACCTGGTTGTTTAGAGAAAGAAGAGAAAGCAATGGGTGGAGGAAAAGGGTAAGCTGTTAGGAAGAACAGTAAAGCTATGAAACAGAGAAATGACAAGCAGAAATGAGCTCAGGGGGAAGGGTCAGAGGATACAGGGAGGGACAGACGTGTGTTCTAGCCACTACATAGGTACCTTACCAGCTTCTCCTCCCTTGCTGGTGGGTTCTTCAGGAAGCAGCAGAGAGGGGCATAGATGATGTTGATGGTACCAATGATGACCATGAGCCAAGGGAAGCCGATGACCTGTACAATAACACCCCCGGTAGATGGGCCTGTGGAAAATAAACCAAATTCCAAGTGGTTGTTGAATCGGTCACCTATAAAACACTACCCTAGGGACAGTGGGTAACCACAGAGACTGAGGCAGATTCCACTATCATCAGATCCCTAAGAGAATGAGGTCTCTGGTTCGAGATCCAGGTAAACCACAATGGAGATGGGGACTGGGTCACTCAGGCCTGGGAACTCCCGTCTAACCCAACCAACATACCAATAGCAAAGCCCACACAAAAAGCCACATCAGCGATGGCGTAGACACTCCCATACACAGAGCTGTGGCGTAAGTCCACCAGGTATCCCATGATGGGCATCAGAGAGGAATCCACCATGCCTGCGGCCAAAACAAGCAGGATGCTGTTAGTCAGCTTACCCATGGCATCTCCCTCCACTCTGCCCCCATTTAGTCTACTCTCTGGGCCTGCTGTCTCCACACTCAGCACCAACAGAGGACCAGGTAGGAACCACGAGCCCACACTGCACATCTGCCAGCTTCTCTCTCATCCCTGCCTTTCCACCTGCCTCTTCTGATGGGAAAATGGGGAGGAAAGAAACCTGACTCAAAGGACAGTTTCACAGGTGTCTTTTTCACTTTGACGTCACTGCTTACCTATAGCAAAGCCAAGGCCTGCATTGGGGCCAATGAGACCAAAAATATTGTGAGCCAGAGGTACCTAGAATGGGAAGGAAGAAGAGTTCCTCAGAATACCACTGGCCTGGGAAGGGCAGGGTGCAGAGTCTTTGCATGACATGTATTTGTGACATCTGCCACATGCTTTGCCTCTGATTTCTCATACCTTCTTTTGAAGAATAATCTTCCTTTCCACCTTGATCACATGAAAACTGGGCTGGTGTTACCCGAACTTACAGTAAGCAGCAAGATCAAGTTCTAATCTCAGACTCAACTATATTATATTCTATTATATTGTATTATATTATATAGTATAGTATAGTATAGTATAGTATAGTATAGTATAGTATAGCAAGGATATATTCATGAACACTAACACTCTCTACCAAACACACACTTTTGTGTTCATTCATCACTGTATGTTGCCATCATTGATACTATCAAGCTTGCTTGTTATTTATTTCACAGTACTGGGGATCGAACATAAGGCCTTGTGAGGCTAGCCCCCTCCTCACTTTTTTTATTTCGTTCTGAGATGAGGTTTCACCGAGTTAATTGCCTAAGCTAGATTTGAACTCACTCTGTAGCCTAGGCAAGCCCTGAATCCCTGATCCTCCTATCTTAGTCTCCTGGAGTAGCTGGAGTTAAAGACCACCAAATTTGGTCCCAAGGGTTTTATTTGAAACCCAAACTTGGTAGCCATTTTAGCAAAAAGACAAAAAATAAACCCAACATTTAGCAGCTTAACAACTGGAGAGACAAATGGAATCATTTGGGTGCCACAAGAGCAAGCAATGGCATGCATTCACCCCTTTCTGAAAGCAGCGTCCCTACCCCTCTTTTTGGTACCTGTTACTCAATACCACTGACCCATCACACAGCCACTGAAAGGTTCAGCATGCCATTCAGCACTGGCAGCTCTTTATGGAGCAACACCTCAAGTGGTGCTCATATTTGTAAATGGCAGGGCTGACTTACTGAGGCTTTTCAAGTGCCCTCTCCAGTCTGCAGTCTATGTGGATTTCTCCAAACACCGTGTGAGATGCAAGCTAACTCCTTGTAAGAGAACACTGAGCAGAGAAGTGGTGTGAGTAGCTGAGGGCCACACAAATGGCAAGTGGTAAAGCTGGAAGGGAGCTTTGAGATCATGCCCATCACCAGGGGCTTTAAAAGCTCAACCTGGGTGCAGCGCTCAGAGCCTTATACCTCTGTTTTCATATCCCTTTAGCCGGGAGCCAGATGGACTGATGGTCTCCACTGAGGACAGGTGACAGTAACAGCCTGGAAGCACAAAGGACTCCTCAAGATGGAAATCCCTACTTTCTTTCTTTTACCAAATTTTCTGCTCCTAGAGACTGAGCCATAAATGGTGCAGGTCCTGGTGGCTAGTGGAGATTGTCACAGTAGATTGACTAAGTGGATTTATAAAATACCATTGGCTGGCAAGCTCCAGAAATAGATCCCAACACGCTTCAATTCACATGTTTATGCACAGCCTCACACCTCTGGTTCCACTGCCCTATTCCTCTCCTTTTACATGTCCTTCTGATGGTACGCCACTTCCGTTCACAGCATCCCCTTGGGCACCAATTTCTGATCATGTAGGAATTCCTACCATGTCAGCCTACTGCTCATTTGAAGGAAAAGATCTTAAATTCTGTAGTGTTCTCCCTTTTTCAACTGGGTCTTGTACTTACACAGAGCAAGCTGACACCTACAGCCAACATTCCAACAAGGGAGCACAGCCACCTGGAAGAAAAAGAGCTATTATCACACAGTATCTGCAGAGTTGGCTACTACCTGCCACCTTGGCCAGTGCTAAATACCCTAATTTAAGTAACCCCTTAGATTCAGGAAGGAACTGCATCTCTACAGGACAGACTGAATCCCTTTCTGTCTGGGTCTTTTCCTTGGGAAAGATGCTATAGTGACAGCTAAGCTGATGAGATTTCCCTGCTCTGTCTGCAATGATGCCCCCCCTCCTTCTCACATCCAAATTTTAAGGTACACTATCCCTTTAGGCAGAGGGTAATTTCTTATTGCCATCCATAACATATGAGTTCAGGGTAAACTCATAGCTCTTCTCATGGCAGTGTTGGGAGTACTACACTGAGACATATGCTTGTAGCCCTTAGGACTGAAGGCTGCTGCTTCCAAAGGCACTTAGACTATGCTCTTGATCTGGATTATTGGTGTTTGCCAGTTCAGGTTGCTTCTTTTTTGTAGATTTTATTTATTATTATTAATGTGCATGAGAGAAGGAGTGTTGAGAGGGGTTATGTGAGAGGGGGCACACCACAGCATGCGTGTAGAGGTCAGAGGTCAACTCTGTGTAGTCAGTTCTCTCTATCCACCTCTATGTGGGTTCTGGAGATTAAACTCCAGACTTTTGTGGCAAGAGCCTTTATCCACTGATCCATCTCTCCAACCCAGTTCAAACTCTACCTACTCATAACATTTGTGGTCTTACAAAACCTCCTCAAAAGGGGCCGTCTGAAGACCACTCCACCCGAGTATCTATCCCATGTGCAGTCACCAAAGGTAGATGCTGATGTGGAAGACAGGAAGTGCATGCTGATAAGAGCCTGATATGGATGTCTCCTCAGAGGTCTTCAAGAGTCTGACATATTCAGAGGCAGATGCTCACAACTAGCCATTGAACTGATCATGGGGTTCTCAATGGAGGAGTTAGAGTGAAGACTGAAGGAGCTGAAAGGATTTGCAGCACCATGAGGAGAGCAACAATACCAACCAACCAAAGCTCCCAGGGTCTAAACCACCAGCCTGGGAGCACTTAGGGAAGATCCAGGGCTTCAGCTGAATATGTAAGAGTGGAGGGCCCTGCTGGGCATAGGTGGAAGAAGAGAACCTTGACCTCATGAAGGCTGGATGCCCCAGGGGGTGGGAATTTTGAGGGTGGGGAG